TGTTGCTAAGTCAAAGAATTTTGAAATAAATGCAAATCATCTTCATATGGATGTAATAAACTAATGACATACAAATTATCCATTAATAAACTAATGAAATTCTCAAAGTAATTAAGGCCCTTTTGATTTCAGACTTTCTTGAAGATTTTATTTCTCCTTTTTGTAAATAAAGTTGCAAATATGCTCAACATGGTCAGAAGACTTTAGGACAATACACTGCATTTTCTAACTGGAGCTCCTTTATATACTGAATTCACTCTCATAGGTTTATTTCCAGGTAGAGTGAATAAAGTCAAATTTTAACTAGTTAATATTTTAATCCAAGAAAGAAGCAATCAACCAAAGATATTTGTAGGTGACTCAAAGAACAACTTCATGGACTAGATTATATAAATTTTTAGAGGAAGTGCCCTTCTTTCATTAGAAAGTTTATTCTGAGCAAATCAAAGGTATAGCAGATAGTTTACTATCTAGAGTCTAGATTCAATTTGAGATACAATCTTGATTAGAGATAATGGAGGATTATCTATAATTGAGTCCTTGTCTAGGATTCAAGCATTAATATTTAAAGAATCAAAAGCAAGAACAGAAAATAACCCCACATATATCAAATAACAAGCATATCTCAAAGATACAATAACAATTTAGTACTGACATTTTCCAAAACAGCATCCAAGAATCACAATGTACCCAACATAGTTTAATGAGATGAAACTTAACAAGAAAATAAAACCAGCAATTTTCTAAGAAGAGAGAAATCAGAATGAAATATAACATACAAATTTAGTAAAACTTCATAGGGATTATTAAAATAATTAGATTATTATTTTAAAAGACAAAAGAGCAAAGAAAAGAAGGAAAGAGGAAGAGAGGGAAAGAGGAGAGAAGAAGGGAAGAAAGGAGGGAATAAGAAAAGGGAGGAGGAAGTGGAGGAAAGGAGAGAGGAAGTTGACTATTTCAGAAGAAATTGCTATTGCTATTCAGAAGAGAATTAATTAAGGCAATAAAATTTGCAAAAGAAATACATGAGAGAGACAATGAATCCTCCATATTTTAAAAAGAAAACAAAGAAAAGATAAAGAAAAGATCTCTAGCCTATCTATTGAAATAATTCATTTACAATCATTGCCAGTTAAATTTGTTCTACTGACTGCACTTTTTCTATCATTTAAAAGTAACAACTTTCTCATCTGTAATTACAAATGACTCAGGAAATCACCAAGAGTACAATTTCTACTGTGTCCTGATTTGGCTAAGTGGAGATGAATTTTTCATTGTGGAATAATGTATTTCAGGTATATAAACTGTTGTTCCATTTGTGGGATAACTAGCAGTGATAAACAAGACTCTCAATAAAACATACAAAATAGTGAGGATACAGTCTTAATTTGCAGTGCGAAGGCCACAGACTATATATTGGAGGAAAGGGGAAAGCATGTGCCCAAACCAATGAATAAACTATAAGAATCTGTAACATTTCTTCTAGCTCTATAATTCCATGAACTTCCCTGGTGGCTCAGTCCATAAAGAAAGCGCCTGCAGTGCAGGAGACCCAGGTTCAATTCCTGGGACGGGAAGATCCCCTGGAGGAGGGAATAGCAACCCATTCCAGTATTCTTGCCTGGAGAATCCCATGGACAGAGGAGCCTGGTGGGTTACAGACCATGGGGTCCAAAGAGTTGGACATGACTGAGCAACTAACACTTTCAGCCTAGAAACCATGTTTATGAAAACAATCTAAAGGTGATGGATACAACAGCAGCAGGAAAAAGGACAGAAATGAAGTGTTTCCATGCTGACTGCTAAGGCTTGCTTGGGAGGAATACAGCACAATGTTTCATTACCTATTTGAAGTGAGAATACCAAGGACAAAGAAAAGGAAAACCATTGTCCTCTGGCTCTGAGGTATATTCTATGACAAGTTTTTATTCTACAAATATCTTTTCTTATGGCAATATTTAAATGAGCATTCCGTGAGAATATACTATTTGATGATAATGGGAGGCAGCCAGAAATACATAATGTAACAGAGAAAAACCAACAAGAAATTAGGACACTGATGTGCATACAGTCACAGAGGGATATAATATAAATTACAGGTAAAAGTATACACTCAGACTCTAGATACAGCCCCACCTTAATGATTAAGTGGCCACTAGGTCACTTATCCAGCATGGTCTTGTTTCTCCATCTATAAAATAAAAGAAGTAATGAAGGTAGGATAGAATAAATGATCTCTAACTTTAAAAGTCCCTGATAATTTAAATAATTTAAAATCAAGAATTCTTTCTAGATGGAAATCCAAATTTCAGAACTGTAACATCATAATACCTAACTGAGCCATAAATAACAAAATATTATATCATAAAATGTTATAATTAGAAGGAATATGGTGTATTCAGTACATTTGAACTGAGGCATAAAGAAGTTAATTAAATGGCTCAAGGTTACATAACTGGCAGGGAGGAAGAGATGGGATTAGAATTTTCCTACTTTTTTCCAATACCTGTATGATGACACTAAGTAAAATCTTTCTTTTCTGGGAAAGTAAGAGGGAGGGAATGCCATCTGAGTGGTTTTAAAAAAAAAAAGAAAGAAAGCAAAAAAACTAAAAGAAAAATGATACCTTTAGATGAAAGCAAAGCAGAGATATATAATCCTCAGAGAATATCTGCAATTAAAGCTCTTAAAAGAAATATAGTCAGATCCCCATCTCTTTATGATAAGCTTAATGGCTGCTATTTAATTCACCTAAATTATCCTCACTTTGTACACTGCCGATAAAACTAAAAATTGTGCAAGAGGCCTCAGAGAAAGATCTCAATGGTTAGAACTTCATAGGATGTCACATATAAACCAAAAACATTTACTTAAAACTTCACTGAAAACCAAGAAAGGGACATTTGGGTACAATATTGTTTTGAGAAATAATGCCAAGCTGAGGTAGAACAAGAAAAGTTGTATAGCTCAAATAGTCAAGCCCAAGATCTTCCGTCTATTATACTTGATAGCTTGTCTTCCCAGCTGGGACTGAGAAATATGGTTCCACCAGAGCCACCGAATCCACAACTAAGATGGCCAAAGAAGTCGACTTGGGCTGATTTAATCGACTTCCCTCCTGATGACTCCGGTATGAAGAAGAATAAATAGCAATTCCTTTAAAAGGTTCAGATGGTAAGGATCTGGACACATTTTCCACTCTAGAGAAGAGTAGCAATATAGCTGAAAAAGACTTAGCAAAATAAAAAGTTCTAAGTTTGATGGTATAAGGTGACATTATATAGAATAAGGACTGGATGAAAAAAATTTAATAATTCAAAGATTCTTCAAACATAATGATAATGTTCAGTTTATGCAATAAGTTTTAAGGTAAACGTGTCATAATGATAAATAATGACAAAAATGGTAAGGTCCTTGTATGAGAGCTTTAAGGCCATGAAGTGTAATCAAGTATAACTAAGTCCTTTGTGTCTCAATTCACAGAATGAAAGAAATGTTAAATGCAAAATTAAAAGATAACTAGAGTAGTTTTATTGGAGAAGGAAATGGCAGCCCACTCCAGCGTTCTCGCCTGGAGAATCCCAGGGACGGGGGAGCCTGGGGACTGCCGTCTGATGTGACTTAGCAGCAGCAGCAGCAGTAATTTTGGAGGCTTTCTGGGTGGCTCAGTGGTAAAAGAATCCGCTTGCAATGCAGGAGACACAGGTTTGATCCCTGGGTCAGGAAGAACCCCTGAAGAAGGGCATGGCAACCCACTCCAGTATTCTTGCCTGGGAAATCCCATGGACAGAGGAGCCTGGTGGGCTATGGTCCATAGGGTTGTAAACAGGCAGACACAACTTAGCAACTTAGCATACTATAGTAATTTTAAGGCAGTAATTACCATATTTAAAACAACTGAAGTGAAATGAAATGATCCAGATCTGAAAAGACTAACTTGAATCATTAAAGCAAAGGAAAAAGAGATAGGAGGGGAGACACATGAACAAGGTCACCTTTCTTCTGATGAAGGACGACAGAACATTTGACTCATTCAGAGGACTCCTCACACTTTGTCACTAAACCATTAGGTTTCCTGGCTAAAACACTGTCAATAAAATAGTGTTGATGGTTATACATTTTTTCACTCTCCATATCATAGACTATCACATTATTTGAAATATAATTCCACAGGTTAAAGAAGTTTAAAACCCGAGAGACCATCCATGAACGAGAAAGAGAAAGCATTTTACTTAGTTTGAGGATTTCAAAGAGGTTTGTGGAAGTGGCCATGGCTTATAAGAGCGAGACTCTACTAAAAGAGTTCATTCTTAGTGAATAACCCTATAATTTGTGAAGACACCCCAGAAAGTAGGGAGGCATCATTAAGTGGTTTATCCCATCAGTCCCAGGGACTGGTTTCATAAAAGACAATTTTTCCATGGACCCAGGGAGTGGGGAGAAGGGTGGTTTGGGGATGATTCTCACAAGGAGCATTCAACCTATATCCCTTACATGCACAGTTCACAGTAGGGTTCACGCTCCTATGAGAATCTAATGAATGTCACTGACCTAACAGGAGGCAGAGTTTAGGTATTAATGTGAGTGATGGGGAGAGTCTGTAAATACAGACAAGCTTTGCTCACTCTCCTGCCTCTCGCCTCCTGCTGTGCAGCCTGCTTCCTAACAGGCCATGGACCAGTACCCCTCTGCGGTCCAGGGGTTGGGAACCCCTGGTTTATCCCATTCCCATGCCAAATGTACATATGACTAACATGGTCCTGGCACATCTTCCATTTTCCCTGGGTGATCTTTGACTTGATCTGCACCCTGCGCCTACTTATCCTCAGCAACATTCCTACCACTTTCAACATGTCAAGTGTTGAACACCTGGTGGTTCTCCAAATTCATCTAAGCCCAGGGGACTCATGGCAACCTGAGACAGGAACCATCAGACATAATTAACTTCATCATATGTAACTAAATACACACAGATTCCAGTCCAAATAAGTGGCACTTACTTATGTCCATTTAAGGCTGCATGGTGTAAAGCCGTGTAGCCCGAACTGTCTGTGCAGTTCACGTTGGGGCCTCGCCAGATGCTGCAAATAAAGCACAGGCACACAGTTAACAGGGGGCAGAACTGTGCTTTGCAAAACAAAAGGAAGCCTGTTAGTCTCACAGACGGCAGCATGTTTCATATGAGGATTTTACTCATGTAGAAAACAACCGCCACCTTTCCTGCACTCCCCTCAGAACAATATCTTTATTCATTTATTTGACGCAGAGAAATTATCAGTGAATATAGCCACCATTAGAAATTATTAGCAGATGCAGACACCCTGGTATACTTTAAATTTGGACCCCAAAATTCCCTGTCACTTTCGGTCATAGGGCTTCCCGGGTGGTTCAGAGGTTAAAGCGTCCGCCTGCAATGCGGGAGACCTGGGTTCAATCCCTGGGTTGGGAAGATCCCCTGGAGAAGGAAATGGCAACCCACTCCAGTATTCTTGCCTGGAGAATCCCATGGACGGAGGAGCCTGGTGGTACAGTTCACAGGGTCACAAAGAGTCGGACATGACTGAGTGACTTAATTTCGGTCATTACTTAAATATTGGATGCAATTAACATTGAACTGTTATGTTCTTTACCAAGAAGAAACATTTAATTCACCTACCTCCTCTTTTAACACACTCATTCTGAGATGGCAGTGGTTTACATAAGCTACATATTTGCATACAGAAAGAATATAAACACTTCTTGCTGTTCCATTGCTACCAAGAGAATATAAAACATATTTCACCCTTGAAAATATAACTAGATTTGATTGTCACAAACCATAAAAAGGTTCTAGTAATTTTGAATTTATTTTGTTATACAATATATTTTGAAGATAACATATAAGAAAGAATCCACCTTATCCTTGATCACTACAATTATAGAAACTATAGTTTAAAAAAAATAGGCATGGAAAGACAGTTTTCCAAAAGTAAATCTCTCCAAAAACTATCTGATGTTATCAAAGCCATCAAAACTAACATATAATGACAAACTAGTTTATGTGTTCACAAAATATTTACTGTGTACCAATTATATGCCACATATTAAGCTAAGTACTCACAGTACACAGTCATAATTCAAGGTCCTTCTTTACAAGAGCAGAGTCTAACGGAGAAGAGAGACACACAAACTAACAAGTACAGACCAGTAAGATCATCAAGGTGTCAGAGAGCACACAAGTGTCTCTGAGAAGAGAATAATGGCTAAATATGCCAAACGAGAGGTCACAACTCACTTAAACTAAGTTGAGACAATGAAAATGAGTAGAATGTTCTTATTCGACAGTTATAAAAAGTCAAACCAATAAGATACAGGGATCAACTGAAGGAAGGAGAAAGTACAATAGTTAGCACAGAATCACTCAAATTAAATGTCTAAATGACTGAAAGGAAAATGACATGAACTAAGATATGAAAAGAAGGCAAATCTACTGGAGGAAGACAGTGCAGATGGAAAGCAAACAATGACTTCAGACTTGGACACATTTAATTTCAAGTATCTGACATACTTACGTAAAAGTAAGGATCTCCAGAAAACTACGAAAATATCTAGTTAGAAGCATGGTTCTTAAGTTAGACAACCCGATTTCAAAAACCTGGCTCCATTACTTGCTGGGGGTAGCCCTGGATAAAGTATTTAACCTCTCTGAAGTATTTAATTCCTTGTCTGCAAAATAGAGATGATGATAATGGTACTACTACCTTAAAATGTTGTGAGGATCAAATGAATCAGTACTTATAAAGCTAAGGCATTGGTGGGAATGCAAACTAGTACAGCCACTATGGAGAACAGTGTGAAGATTCCTTAAAAAACTGAAAATAGAACTGCCGTATGACCCAACAATTCCACTCCTGGGCATACACACCGAGGAAACCAGATCTGAAAGAGACACGTGCTCCCCAATATTCATCACAGCACTGTTTATAATTGCCAGAACATGGAAGCAACCTAGATGCCCATCAGAAGACGAATGAATAAGGAAGCTGTGGTACATATACACCATGGAATATTACTCAGCCATTAAAAAGAATTCATTTGAATCAGTTCTAATGAGATGGATGAAAATTAGCCTCCAACTAATAAAAATAAATAAAAAAGAAAAAAGGAGAAAAAAAATAAAGCACTTAGGGCAGTAGTTGAACATAGCACTAGCATCTATTATATTTGTTATGTTTGTTCAAAAAACTGTTAGAAGATAAAACCAAGGTAGTGCTTGATTTCACACTCTTTAAGAGAGGCCATCAGCTGGGCATGGTGGCATGCATCTCAGCTACGCAGGAGGCTGAGGCTGGAGAACTGCTTGAACCCAGGAGTTCTGGGCTGCGGTGCACTATGCCAACTGGCTGTCCATACTAAGTTCAGTATCAACATGGTGACCTCCTAGGAGAGGCCATCAGGCTCAAATACCTCAGAGGAAAATGTGTATATGAAGGCAAGGTGAAACCTTCTCTCAAATGTTGATATTAGCCAAAATATCAATCCCTATACGAAAAAAAAAGAAATCAAACCTAAGTTGGGTAGATAGTTCCAAGTTCAAGACAACTCAAAATCTGAAAACCTCCCAGCCCTTATTGAAATGGTCAGAGAACCTATACCAAAGTATACTGTGAGGAAAAAAGGAAAGAAAGAAAAATATGGGACTGACAACAGAACCATGGATAATTAACAATACTTCAGGGTCCAGCATGGATAAAAAGTTACATGAAGAAGACTGAGAGTTGTCCAAGAGTAAATAAAACCAAGAGAAAGCATTATTCAATTTAAAACAGGAAACTGCCCCCCCCACCCCGAAAAAAAGTGAGATAAGAATCAAACTATTTGGTAATAAAGAAGGTCTTGAGGAAATTACTGACCAAATATAACTAGTCAATTGTAAGATTTTAACTTAATCTTTATCTTAACTTCATTTCAATCCAGTTGTTTATTTCCTTTAGTGGTATCTTACCTCCTGAGAGTAAAAAAAAGTGACAATTAAACCAGGAAAGTTATAAAATATGCATATGTTTTACAATTTCATTAAGATTGTTAGACTTTTAACAATCTATTTTTTTCTAAATCAATCCTTGAAGCATTTTTAGTTTCCTACTATGTTCTTAAAACTTTTATACCTTTGTTTCTCTTGCTAATTTACCCATCTTGCCCTATTAATTTCCACCTTTGTGCCTTTACTCATGCCCTTCTACTAACCTATGACAGATTTTCTAACCAAGCATATCTTACCATTCTTCCAAAGCCTAGATCAAGATTCACCTGTTCCAATAATTTTTCTCTAAATATTGAATACAACAGTTATTTAACAAATATATGCTAAATTATAAATAAAATAATTGATTATTTTAATGAATAAATAAGCCACAGGTAAAAACAAGTGTTAAAACAAATGCAATGTACTCATTTAAAATAATGTGAAATCCAAAAAATAATAATAATTCAAGAAGCAAAAGAACAAAAAAGCAGAAGAGAGAAATAAGGAAGATTTGATACAAATACAAACAAAACTATTAGATGATAGGTTTAACCACATCAATGACAAAAATAATCACATCAACAATTACAATAACCATTAATTGTTTAATCATCCCAGTTTAAAAAAGTATCATCAGACTGGGTTAAAGAAAGTAAGACCCAACTGTATGCTCACTACAAGAAATTAGCTTTAAACATAGAGATACATAGGGCTTCCCTGATAGCTCAGTTGGTAAAGAATCTGCCTGCAAGGCAGGAAATCCCTGTTTGATTCCTGGGAATCAGAGATCAAATCGCAGCATCTGCAGGATCACTGAAAAAGCAAGAGAGTTCCAGAAAAACGTCTACTTTTGCTTTATTGACTATGCCAAAGCCTTTGACTGTGTGGATCACAACAAACTGTGGAAAATTCTTAAAGAAAAGGGAATACCAGACCACCTGACCTGCCTCCTGAGAAATCTGTATGCAGGTCAAGAAGCAACAGTTAGAACTGGATATGGAACAACAGACTGGTTCCAAATCAGGAAAGAAGTACATTAAGGCTGTATATTGTCACCCTGCTTATTTAACTTATATGCAGAGTACGTTATGTAAAATGCCGGGCTGGATGAAGCACAAGCTGGAATCAAGATTGCCGGGAGAATTATTAGTAACCTCAGATATGCAGATGACACCACCCTCATGGCGGAAAGCAAAGATGAACTAAAGAACCTCTTGATGAAAGTGAAAGAAGAGAGTGAAAAAATTTGTTTAAAGCTCAACATTCAGAAAACTAAGATCATGGCATCTGGTCCCATCACTTCATGGCAAATAGATGGGGAAACAGTGGAAACAGTGGCTGACTTTATTTTTCTGGGCTCCAAAATCACTGCAGATGGTGATTGCAGCCATGAAATTAAAAGACGCTTACTCCTTGGAAGGAAAGTTATGACCAACCTAGACAGCATATTAAAAAGCAGAGACATTACTTTGCCAACAAAGGTCCATCTAGTCAAGGCTATGGTTTTTCCAGTGGTCATGTATGGATGTGAGAGTTGGACTGTGAAGAAAGCTGAGCGCCGAAAAATTGATGCTTTTGAACTGTGGTGTTGGAGAAGACTCTTGAGAGTCCCTTGGACTGCAAGGAGATCCAACCAGTCCATCCTAAAGGAAATCAGTCCTGAATATTCATTGGAAGGACTGATACTGAAGCTGAAACTCCAATACTTTGGCCACCTGATGCAAAGAACTGACTTCTTGGAAAAGACCCTGGTGCTGGGAAAGATTGAAGCTAGGAGGAGAAGGGGACCACAGAGGATGGCATCACCAACTCAGTGACATGAGTTTGAGCAAACTCTGGGAGTTGGTGATGGACAGGGAAGCCTGGCCTGTTGCAGTCCATGGGGTCACAAAAAGTCAGACCTGACTTAGTGACTGAACAACGACAACAGAATTTCAAAATACATGAAGCAAAAAATTGATACTATTGCAAAAAGAAATAGAAATAGACCTATCCACTTGGAGATTTTAATACCTCTCAATAATTGATATAACAAGTAAACAGAAAATCAGTAGGGGGATATAAGACTTGAATAACACTACCAACAAACTGGGGGCTTCCTTGGTGGCTCAGCTGGTAAAAAGAATCCACCTGACAATGTAAGAGACCAGGGTTCTATCCCTAGGTGAGGAAGATCTCTTAGAGAAGGAAATGGCAAGGTGCTCCAGTATTCCAGCCTAGAAAATTCCATGATCAGAGGTGCCTGGTGGGCTACAGTCCGTGGGGTTGCAAAGAGTCGGACATGACTGAGGATGCATGTGCACACACACACACACACACCACACCCCAACCAACTTGAGCTGACATTTATAGAACCAATGCAATAACAGCAGAATACATATTCTTTTCAAGTGAACACAGGACATTTATCAATATATACTATATTGTGGATCATAAAACAAATCTCAATAAGTTCAAAAGATTCAAATAACACAAAATATGTTCTCTGACTCTAATGAAATTCAATTAAAAATCATTCATAGAAGAGTATCTTTACTATCCACAAATATTTGAAACTGAATAACACATAAGTCCGAGACAATATCATAAAGATTTTGGAAAATATTTACAACTGAAATAGAAATAAACAAAATATCAAAACTTTTCAGATGCAACTAAATATCTAAAGGAAAATTTATAGTATTAAAATGACACTAATGGGTATTCTCAAGAAGCAGGTGAGGTGGTCTGGTATTCCCATCTCTTTCAGAATTTTCCACAGTTTATTGTGATCCACACAGTCAAAGCTTTGGCACAGTCAATAAAGCAGAAATAGATGTTTTTCTGGTTATGACCAAACTAGATAGCATATTAAAAAGCAGAGACATTACTTTTCCAACAAAGTCTGTCTAGTCAAGGCTATGGTTTTTCCAGTGGTCATGTATGGATGTGAGAGTTGTACTGTGAAGAAAGCTGAGCACTGAAAAATTGATGCTTTTGAACTGTGGTGTTGGAGAAAACTCTCGAGAGTCCCTTGGACTGCAAGGAGATCCAACCAGTCCATCCTAGAGGAGATTAGTCCTGGGTGTTCATTGGAAGGACTGATGCTGAGGCTAAAACTCCAGTACTTTGGCCACCTCATGCGAAGAGTTGACTCATTGGAAAAGAGCCTGATGCTGGGAGGGATTGGGGGCAGGAGGAGAAGGGGACAACAGAGGATGAGATGGCTGGATGGCATCACTGACTCGATGGACATGAGTTTGAGTGGACTCTGGGAGTTGGTGATGGACAGGGAGGCTTAGTGTGCTGCAATTCATGGGGTTGCAAAGAGTCGGACATGCCTGAGCAACTGAACTGAACTGAACCGAACGGGTGTTCATTGGAAGGACTGATGTTGAAGCTGAAACTCCAATACTTTGGCCACCTGATGCGAAGAGCTGACTCATTGGAAAAGACCCTGATGCTGGGAAAGATTGAGGGCAGGAGGAGAAGGGGACGACAGAGGATAAGATGGTTGGATGGCATCACCGACTCGATGGACATGGGTTTCGTGGACTCTGGGAGTTGATGATGGACAGGGAGGCCTGGCATGCTGCGGTTCATAGGGTCGCAAAGAG